TGCTTTATCTTTAAAATATTGATTTCTTAATTTTGGGTTAGAAAAGTGGGTGTCGTCTTATACATGGGGGCATCTTATTCACAGAAAAATACGGTATATAAAGGAAAGTTCAATAAGCATTTAACTCTGTTAAAGCTATTTCTGTCACCACATCATCACTGGATAAATAAAGACTTCTCCAAAATGAATTCTAGTCATGTGAATTAGAAATACAATATTACATAAAGAAGCATAAATAACTTTACTTAAAAGAAATATATCCAGAAAGAAAATTGCTCTACTTTTACAGAAAAAGGTAATATAATTCGAAAAAACTTCCCAGATTTTAACTATAGAAAAACAGTTTTTAAAAAGGTATCCTATAACAAAATTCTCTTGATATTCTGCTGCTAATAGTGGCTAATATAAATTATAAAACAGAAATTCATTACTCCAGGACTTTGGGATTTGCAATATTAAAATATTACTACCATAATACTAAGGTGTTATGGTAGACTTATGTTATGTCATCAAAAATTCAATAAGAATGGTGCAGCGTGTTAAACCAAGAGAATACCCTCTGAAGTCATTCAGTTTTCAATAATTTCCTGAAAACCAGCAGGTAGGGGGGTCTCCAAGGAGAGGTCATTCCAAAATGACAGCACCATCACAGAAAGGCAGTATCTTCTCACCTCAACCTCCCTCACCCCCTGGAAGTACAGAAGCAGCTGTTCCAGCAGTTGTTCCTTACAAAACCTTACAGGTGAGGCTGATTCTGTTTGGGACAGGTATCAAGCCATGAAGGGCTTTATATGCCAAGACAATTACCTTAAATTAAATTCTGAAACTGATCAGCAGGTAGCACAGGCCCCGCAAAATTAGTATTGGAGCATATAATCACTGGGAGCTGGTAAGTATGGAGGCTGCCTTTTTGACATTTCATACAGAAATTATGAAATAATATTTTACCTACCAATCGAATAAGCTCTTCTTTGATAAGCCTAGTGATTTCTGCCTTTGCTTTCTGAACAGCCAATTCATTGGCGCCTGGAAATGCAAAGCAACATCCCCCATAAAACATTTAATTACCTATCAGCATAGCAGAGTGGTCTTAAAGGTTTTTAAATAATCCATAAATTGCATGTTAAATCTTTACTTTAAAACTGATTAGTATCATTTTATATTTTCTCATAATAGCCACCCAGAGTTGTTGGGAGATGGGCAGCCTATAAATTGTATAAACAAACATGCAAATAGATAAATAATCAAAAGTTCTTTTGCATCAGGATAGACTGATTTAAATAACTATAAATGACATATTTAAAGCAACAGTTATATCATGTTTCTTATACTGCTTTAAAAGTCTCCTTAACTTTAATGAGCACATTCCTTAATGCCGTGCATCTCTGGCAACTTTTTTTCAGACTCCCTTTGCATGGAAGCCTGAAAAAGTTCAGAATCCTTTAAAAGCAGAAAGATGATGTGCTGGTGTGCACAGGAGGTTCAAGCACTTGTTTCAGATCACTTTCAAAGAGAGCATAGCCCTAGCTCTTAGTCCATCAAATAGAGCTAAATTGATTGTACATATTACCTAGGGCAGTAACACAAAAGGTTATTTCATTTGTATTCTAATCTATTTTATGGTGATTGGTACAATTATGACATTATTAAATACTTTTCTTTTTTCATACATACAAACCTAAGCCAAAATCATTTACTCAGACTATTATTTTACGGAGGACTGGTGATGGATAGATACAATATAATAAGGATCTACATTCCAGTTTTCTGCTTGTCTCTTAGTAGGAATTACATTTGTCAAACTATAATGCTGGAATTTTCTTTTTTAGCTTCTTTACCTTATATGTCTGACACAGGGCTGCTGACTAAATGAATTTCTGCTTTTTAAACTACTTGTGTATCAATTTATATGTGTCATGAAATGCATATAGATAATAATCAATTGCAGAATTGTTAAAATATTTTTTTAGAAAAATGTTTAGCCAGTTGACTGACTAATCAGGCATTGCAAAGAAAAAAATAGATGCCAATTTGCTTATAACCCTGCCACCATGACCTAGCAAGGTTGTGATTTACAAACTATAATTTTAGAGGTACGTAATCTATTTTCAGTTCTTGATGATATACTAGAAAAGATTTCAAAGGAATACTATGACATAAAAGAACTCCAATGAAATTCATCTTCAGACTGCAAGCTATTTTCCCAGAGTTTTTAAGATTTTTGAAATAACCTATGGTGTTTAATTGTTTTACTGATAAAATTCACTTGATTTTAAAGGAAATAGCTGTACACCATTCTTCAAATACTGCTAATGTTCTTAATGAATGAGATGTAGACAATTTAAGAAAGAATGAATGAACATGACTCATTTGGAACCAAATCAGAAATTGCAACCAATCCTTTTGGAAAATATATTCAGCAGTCATTGGTTTTCCATCAATAATCACCCCTCTCATTCCATAAAATATTGTATCTTCCAATTTCTTTTATTGAATAAATTTATTCTGATTGAAAAAGGAGAGAAGAGGAGAAAAGCCAAGAGCCAAAGATTGTTTGTCCTTTCTCCAAACATTTAAAGCAAGAATACTTCTGAGATTGTAGATATTAATTCCTTAGTGGCAGGCAGAAACGAAATCATTCTAAAGAATGGGGAGCTCAATGCTAATTCAATTTGCAGCCACTGGACAATATCTAAATTAATGATAAGAGCTGTCTTTCTTGAAGGTCATCAAAATAATGCTTCAAATATCATATGCCTAAACCTCTATCATACTTTTGTTTACAGTTGCAAGAAAAAGTATGTGAACCTTTTGGAATTTCATGGTGTTCTGCATTAATT